CTGAGTGCGGGTCGATGATCAGTAAAGATCGTCTGGCCGCCGTCCGGGTTTATACCCGGACACTGCTCTCGCACACCGTGGGGCGCAGAGCGGGGGCTCTGCGTCTCTCATCAACGGTGTGACGGGTTAGACGGCGGAGGGAGGTGGTGTCCCCCTCCGCCGAACGTTAAATTCGGGACGAGGCGCCACAGCGCTACGGCGTCGGGCTGGTCCGGTAGTACTGCCGATGCGAAGATCCCGGACCAGCCTGACAATACGCCTCGGATGGACACTCGCTGGGGTTTTAGTGGGTAGGCCCCGGCCGGGTTTAATTCCGGTCGGGGAGAGTCCCACATAACCCGGGTTACTTCCCCCGAAGGCCCGGGTATGCGTAACGCATTTCCCCAGCGTTAAAAAAAAAAAAAAAAGATGGATAATAATAATGTGATATATAAAATTAATTGTTGTGATTGCGATTGCTCTTATGTCGGACAAACAAAAAGAAAATTAAAAACTAGAATTAAAGAACATAAATCCGACATTAGAAAATCTAATAATCATTCTGTTGTTTCTCTACATCAACTTCAGTATGATCATCAGGGCCGCGGTCTGATACACGCTCACAACGCTTAAAAATCATTTCATCCTTGTTGTTTGTCAAATGTTAAACGAAGACAAACAATGCTCATGAGCGTTGTCAGCATGATTCGGACCACGGCCCAGATAGACTGGGATAATCTTAATATTTTAGATTCAGAACATTCGTTTTATGAAAGATCTATCTCGGAAATAATTCATATCAAAAAACAAGGAAATGGTATTAACAATCAGAATGATACAGACAAATTACCAAACATCTATCTACCTATTATTCAATCTTTTTCTTAACTTTATTCTGTTCTTTTTCTTTTTATTCATATTTTTAATTTTATAATAATAATCTTGTTACTCTTTTATGTATATTTTCTTCCTACTTCTGCCCCAATAGAATGTTTTTCCTTCTCATATCACTTTTTTCCCCTTCTCTCTTAATTTTGGATGTCTTCTGGCTGAGTTGTGTATATATATCTCTGATTTCAACTTGAGAGAACATTATACGACAATTTATTTAAGAATAACGAGATAAGGATAAACTTGCTTACTATATCTAGAATATGATTTATACATTTGAAGCAAACACAATAATGATGTCGAAACGTCTGTAATTTATACTTAAATAATAACTGTCA